CTCATCCTCTGTTGTCCCCTTCTCCTCCTGCCCTCAATCTTTCCCAGCATCAGGGTCTTTTCAAGTGAGCCAGCTCTCTGCATCAGGTGGCCAAAGTATTGGAGTTTCAGCTTCAACATCAGTCCTTCCAATGAACACCCAGGACTGATCTCCTTTAGGATGGACTGGTTTGATCTCCTTGCAGTCCAAGGGACTCTCAGGAGTCTTCTCCAACACCACAGATCAAAAGCATCAATTCTTCAGTACTCAGCTTTCTTTATAGTCCAACTCTCACATCCATACATGACTACTGGAAAAACTTCTATTAGATGGACCTTTGTGGACAAAGTAATGTCTCTGCTTTTTAATATGCTGTCTGTTCAGTTCAGTTCAGTTCAGTTCAGTCGCTCAGTTGCTCAGTCGTGTCTGACTCTTTGAGACCCCATGAATTGCAGCACGCCATGCCTCCCTGTCCATTACAAACTCCTGGAGTTTACTCAAACTCATGTTCATCGAGTTGGTGATGTCATCCAGTCATCTCATCCTCTGTCGTCCCCTTCTCCTCCTGAACCCAATCCCTCCCAGCATCAAGGTCTTTTCCAATGAGTCAACTCTTCACATGAAGTGGCCAAAGTATTGGAGTTTCAGCTTCAGCATCAGTCCAATATGCTGTCTAGGTTAGTCACAATTTTCCTTCCAAGCGTCTTTTAATTTCATGGCTGCAATCATCATCTGCAGTGATTTTAGAGCACCCCCCCCAAAAAAAACATAAAGTCAGCCACTGTTTCCTTATCTATTTGCCATGAAGTGATGGGGCCAGATGCCATGATCTTAGTTTTCTGAATGTTGAGCTTTAAACCAATGTTTTCACTATCCTCTTTTACTTTCATCAAAGGCTCTTTAGTTCTTCTTCACTTTCTGCCATAAGGGTGGTGTCATCTGCTTATCTGAGGTTGTTGATATTTCTCCCGTCAATCTTGATTCCTGCTTGTGCTTCTTCCAGCCCAGCATTTCTCATGATGTACTCTGCATAGAAGTTAAATAAGCAGGGTGACAATATACAGCCTTGATGTACTCCTTTTCCTATTTGGGACCGGTCTGTTTTTCCATGTCCAGTTCTAACTGTTGCTTCCTGACCTGCGTACAGGTTTCTCAAGAGGCAGGTCAGGTGGTCTGGTATTCCCATCTCTTGCAGAATTTTCCACAGTTTATTGTGATCCACACAGTCAGAGGCTTTGGCATAGTCAATAAAGCAGAAATAGATGTTTTTCTGGAACTCTCTTGCTTTTTTGATGATCCAGCAGATGTTGGCAATTTGATCTCTGGTTCGTCTGCCTTTTCTAAAACCAGCTTGAACATCTGGAAGTTCACAGTTCACGTATTGCTGAAGCCTGGCTTGGAGAATTTTGAGCATTACTTTACTAGTGGGTGAGATAAGTGCAATTGTGTGGTAGTTTGAGCATTCTTTGGCATTGCCTTTCTTTGGGACTGGAATGAAAACTGATCTTTTACAGTCCTATGGCCACCGCTGAGTTTTCCAAATTTGCTGGCATATTGAGTACAACACTTTCACAGCATCATCTTTTAGGATTTGAAATAGCTCAGCTGGAATTCCATCACTTCCACTAGCTTTGCTCGTAGTGATGCTTCCTAAGGCCCACTTGACTTCACATTCCAGGATGTCTGGCTCTATGTGAGTGTGAGTGATCACACCATTGTTATTATCTGGATCATGATGATCCTTTTTGTACAGTTCTTCTGTGTATTTTTGCCACATATCCTTAATATCTTCTGCTTCTGTTAGGTCCATACTATTTCTGTCCTTTATTGAGCCCATCTTTGCCATTCAATGTCACAGTAATCCAAGTCTATTCCCCGACCAGTAATGCTGGAGAACCTGAAGTTGAATGGTTCAATGACCTTCTGGAATGACAAGACCCTCTAGAACTAACACCCCCCAAAAAATGTCCCTTTCATTATAGGGGACTGGAATGTAAAAGTAGGAAGTCAAGAAACACCTGGAGTAAGAGGCAAATTTGGCCTTGGAGTACAGAATGAAGTAGGGCAAAGGCTAATAGAGTTCTGCCAAGAGAATGCACTGGTCATAGCAAACACCCTCTTCCAACAGCACAAGAGAAGACTCTACACATGGACATCACCAGATGGTCAACACTGAAATCAGATTGATTATATTCTTTGGAGCCAAAAATGGAGAAGCTCTATACAGTCAGGAAAAAAGACTGGGAGCTGACTGTGACTTAGATCATGAACTCCTTATTGCCACTCTGGATAAGGAAGATTCCCTAGAGGAATGTATGGCAACCCACTCCAGTATTCTTGCCTGGATAATCTCATGGACAGAGGAGCCTGGTGGGCTGCAGTCCAAAGGGTCATGAAGAGTCATACATGACTGAATGACTAAGCATGCAGGCACATAGTGGACATGGGTACAGATGGTAAATCAATAATGGGGCTTCAGTTGCCAAAATAAAGGGCACGTTTTACAGGACAGTAAGGTTCTGTTGAACTGATACCATATATCTGCCCATGTATGACTTTCTCTAAGTAAAAATCAATTAGGCTTAAAAGTAGAAGAAAAAGAAAAAGGGAAGAAGAAAGAGAAGAAGAAGGAAAGAAATCACACCAGTTATCTCAGATTGCACAAGAGAGAGAACAGTCCTTATACTACTGAGCAACTCCATGGTCCTCAAAGTGTGGTCCCTGGAACAGAGAAATCAGCATCATCTGAGAATTTGTTACAGATGCAAATTCTTGGCCTTATCATTGTAGGCACTGTAATTTGTCTCTTAACCAGCTCTCCAGGTGATGGTCTCAAGGGAAAGAATTGAAGAAATGGATTCTTCTAAAACTCCTAGAGAAACTGTTTCTTTTGAAGAGACTCTTATACTCTTAGATCTTGGCCTGAGAATCCTACATGCTATAAATCTATAAAATTGTTTTGTCCTTGGTCCTTTTGACCCTGAGGAATAACTCTTAATGAATGTGTGTTTTTGAGAGATTTTCAAACTTTTTAACAAGTCCCATTGCTCCCTTGCCCCCAGTGGTAGTCAACCCAACCCTGCCTCCTGAATCGAGTCCAGTAGTTTCTCCTCAAGGATATTCCCTCTTCCCCTAGAGTCACACCCTTTGTTGTATACGTGATGTCTGGGCAGTGGCTCGGAAACTAAGTTTGCAGAAAAGGGATCTTCAAGAAGATGTGAGACATGAGGGCTCTCTCCCGTTCTGGGCTAAAGGAAGGTGAGAGACCAGGGTTTTCTCACCTGTAGACAGAGTAGCTGTTAAGAAGAATCCAGACACACATGTTGGAGGGTGCAGAGAAAAAGCAAGAGATTTAGACTTGATGATAGTAAGGCTAAAGTGTGAGGAAAGCTTCAGAAAATAATGCAGGGGAAATGGAGTGTTGAAAACAGATTTTCCAACAAGCATGTGCAAAACCAGGCTTTTAATGACAAAGTGGAAACTAGGTCCTGTGATTTAGAGGGATGATATTGAGAGCAAAGGATAGGAAAATACACCACAGAATTCTCCACATGGTCACACTGAATAAGAAGGATCGCATAATTACCTGCAAATTCATTATGACAGCAACTTTTTTTGAGCAACTGTTGAATCAGAGTTGCTATTACAGGTGCTGGGGCTACTAAGTTACTGAATTTACAATCTTGTTAAGAGGGACAACGGAAAAAAATATGATGAGACGAAAATGACCTCTGATGGACAATACATTGCAGGAAGCAGGTGGGGGTGGGGAGTGAGACAAGGCAGGGGAGTGAGAAGGCCACTTAACTCTCACCTGTCTCCCTTATCTCTCACCTTCTGTGTCCTTCTTCACCTTTGTTCCCAGCCTCTTCCCTCCCCCTCCACTTTTCCCCTCCCCTTCCTTCCTCTTAATATCCCCTCTTCATTCTTTTGACAACACCCTGGTGGCTCAGACAGTAAAGAATCTGCCTGCAATGCAGGAGACCTGAGTTCGAAAGATCCCTGGGAGAAGGGAATGGCAACTCACTCTAGTACTCTTTATTCCTTTGTCTATACTATTTCTCTTATTTCAATATCTTCCTTCCTCATATATCTTTGTATTCAGTAACAGAAATTCTTGGGCCTTTTAAAAGAGCCCTTCCATTCCCCTTTTTACAAAATCCATCACCTATTTCTTAATCCAGAAAATCTCTCTCCACCTTCTCATGTCTCAGCACAAACACCATGTATATCCTGTTAACTCATCCAGTAAGGGACCACCTACACCAGTGATGGGGGGACATTCCTTATAATTGTTTACCCACCCAGCAGTCAATGCCACATGCTTTTTTAGTATTGACTATGAGCAAGCATGAGTACTTCAGTGCACAGATTAATTGAGAATCAAGGCACATGTCTGTAGTGGCACATTATGGTTGAATCAGGAGGAAAAATCTAGAAATACAAAAAGTTCACAAACTTTTAGATGTAATAACTGTTGCATGAGAAATGACTGGTACAAACATGTATTAGAGACTGTTAAGGAGGCAGGAGGTTTTCAGTGGGAGACTACAGAGAGGTGAGTGATTACTATTTATTATTCCAGATGCTATTCTAGGAACCTTATGTGTTATCTTATTTAATATCCTAGAGATTTTATAGAGACAATACTTTTATTTCCACTTCCATAGAAGTGGAAACTGAGACAAAGGGATTGAATAACTTATTGTGGGTCACATCTCAAGGATAAGAAACTCTGTAATTTGTCTACATGTCTGCTGGACTCCAAGTGTCTTCCTATTACTCTATTACACTGAATTTTTTAAAGCAGGTTGTATATGTCATGAATGAATTTAAGATATCTCAAGAATATATATTCCAGTACCAACTGGTACACATTCCAGGGCCAAGGACATTTAGTCAGCACCTGGAATTATGATATGCACATAAATGTCCATCATCTAATCTTGGACACTCAGTTTGAGCCTCTGAGCACTAATTCATTGCCATCTGTGTTTTCTGTAGGTTATGGAGTAGACACCATGGTATCAGGGAACCACACGTGGGTGCCAGAATTTGTCTTCCTGGGGCTCTCACAGACTCAGGAGCTCCAGCTCATCTTCTTCCTGGTGTTCCTGTTTGTCTACACGACCACTGTCATGGGGAACCTCCTCATCATGGTCACGGTGACCTCTGATTCCAGGCTCCACACACCCATGTATTTCCTGCTGAGAAACCTGGCAGTCATAGATGTCTGCTTCTCCTCAGTCACTGCCCCAAAGATGCTGGTGGACTTCCTCGCTGAGAAGAAGACCATCTCCTACCAGGGCTGCATGGCCCAGATCTTCTTCTTCCACTTTCTGGGAGGTGCCATGGTCTTCTTCCTCTCAGTGATGGCCTGTGACCGCCTTGTTGCCATCTCCCGGCCCCTCCACTATGTCACCATCATGAACACTCAGGTCTGTGCTGGGCTGGTGGCGGCCAGCTGGGTGGGAGGCTTCATCCATTCCATTTCCCAACTGGCTCTGATGCTCCCTCTGCCTTTCTGCGGCCCCAACATCCTGGATAACTTCTACTGTGATGTTCCACAAGTGCTGAGACTTGCCTGCACGGACACCTCCCTCCTGGAGCTCCTTATCATTCCCAACAGTGGGGTGCTGGTCCTCATCTGGTTCCTCCCCCTCCTGGTCTCCTACTCGGCCATCCTGGTGATGCTGAGGTCCCACTCAGGGCAGGCGAGGAGGAAGGCAGCTTCCACCTGCACCACCCACATCATCGTGGTGTCTATGGTCTTCATTCCCAGCATTTACCTCTATGCCGGCCCTTCACCTCCTTCTCCATGGACAAGGCTGTGTCCGTTAGCCAGACTGTCATGACCCCCATGCTCAACCCCATGATCTATGCCCTGAGGAACCAGGAGATGCAGGCAGCAGTGAAGAGATTAGGGAGGCATCCTCTGGCTTGTAAAAGTGAGTGACAGTGAGTTCCTCACTTCTCTTTGACTTAGTTTTCCACTTGTAGAGTGGGCATAGAGAGCTACTGTATCTCCCCTGTTCATAACTTGTGTTTGTGTTGTACGGATTATCATAGAAGTGAATGCATAGTGAACCTAAGCAACTTACTCAGATTTTTTAGCAAAATTGATAATATCTTTATTTTTTATTTTGATATTGATTTGAATACTCCTGTGACAAGGAGATGTGTTGTCATGGAAGCATTCTGGAAAGTCATACCTTCTCTTCTGCCATTTTGGTGGACAGTTTCCTCTTAGGATGACAGCATTCCCCCAGAAGAGCAGTTCTGTTTTCTGTACCTGATCTCTTTTTCCCAGTACCCCTTTTGGTGTGAGTCTGGATTGTTGGAAACTTGACAGGATCCAGAGTCTTAAGCCTGAAAGTGCAGACTTTAACCAACACTTACCAAATGGATGACCTTGAATGAGATATCTGGCCTCTCTTGAACTCATAACTTCTTCCTCAACAAACTTGCTGAAATTAATACGTGACCCCAAACCTCCCAGTAACAGAATCAGAAATTGTGACAAAACATTGGGTGATCCATATAACTGTATTTTTTATTTTCAAATTGGAAATTATCATGAGTATTCAGATATTTTCACTGTATATTTTAATATAGTATAATAATTATTATAAGTAAAAGATCACATGTAAACCTCATTGGAAAAGACCCTGATGCTGGGAAAGAGTGACTGTAAAGGAGAAGGAGGCAGCAGAAGATGAGATGGTTAGATAGCATCATCGACTCAATGTTCATAAATGTGAGCAAACTCTGGGAGATGGTGAAGGACGGGTGAGCCTGGAGAGCTGAAGTCCATGGGGTTGCAAAGAGTCAGACAAGACTTAGTAACTGAACAACACAACAACAAATGTGTATAATATACATTATCAATATATTGTATAAACAGTCATGTATATAGTAGTCAGTTCAAGAATCACATGGTACCATAACTTCCCTATAGGTGCTCTCTACCACATCACTTCTCCGTAAATGAAACCACTTTCTTGAATTTTGTGTTTATCATTCCATCTTTTATAAAAAATAATCTCAGCACACCTTTACATAATCGACATATTGTTTTATTTTGCTTTTTTGAGATTTATACAAATATTAGACTGTATATAATATTATGGGGTTTGCTTTTTTTCACTCCACACTATGTTTCTAAATGCCACATGTTACTCTGTTTGGCTGTAGTTCATTCTTTGCACTGCTGTATAATATTCCTTTGTGAGAATAAGCTTAGTGGGATTGTCCCAGTTTTTCTGTTGCAAACAGTGCTCTTTTGAATTTTCTTCTACTTGTCTCCAGTTGTTATGTTGAGGAACTATGAGTCATCATATATTTTAAAGTGGAATTCCTGAGCCATGAGATCTTCAAAGATTTACCTTTACAAAATCATGCCAAATTCTTTCCCAAAGTTGTTAATGCATTGCATTTCATCAGCAGTGTTGAAGTGTTTCTATTGATTCATATCCTCCTAACACTTGCTATTGTCAGATTTCTTCATTTTTGCTAATTTAGTGGGTAAAAAAATGAAATTTCACTGTAGTCTTAATTTGCATTTCTCTAACATTTCCTTCCATACTTTTTATTGTATGCAGGTTTCTCATGAATGTATTTTGTTCCCTTTCCTCTGACTTTTTCTATTTAGTGTATGAGTTCTTAGGTAATTTAGTGGTTCATCTATTATCAGCTATATTTATTACAGTGCTTTCTTCCAGTTTGTGATTTGCCTTCTCTATTTTTTGTGTTAGTTTTCAGGCAGTCAGTTTTATTTTAGTGTTAGTTCATATTGAAATCTTATTTTTTAAAATTGCTTTTTATCCGGAGGACAAAACGATATGATATTCTTCTATGTAGTTCTTGCTTTAAAAAATGTTTAAAAGCATTTTTAACTGTTAAAAAAATCTCACACTTACAGAAAAATTGCAAGTAGAGCATAACGTACTTTTTCCCTGAAAGTCTGAGGGTAAGTTACAAACTTGATGCCCACCACTCCTTAACATTTGTGTGCATTTTCTGCAAAAAGACATTTCTACCAATACTGCTATACAGTCAGGTATGGCATTTTTGTGACTTTACCAGGAATATTACAGAAGTCATGCTCTGCTGCTATTTCAGCCTACGAGGTATAAGAGATTTTGCTTTGTCCTGTTGCTAATGTCTCATCACTTTGATTACTAAGAGGTGTTCATTAGGCTTATCACTTAAGTTATTCATTTTCCTTTGGAAGTTAGAAAATATTTTGTAGGAAAGTACTTTGAGACTATGTGAATCTCTAGTTTCTTACCAAACTTCCAATTTATTTATTTATTTATTTATTTATACCTGTGTGAAATTAATTTTCCTTTATTGTTCATTGCTGCTGCTAAGTCGCTTCAGTCTTGTCCGACCTTGTGCGACCCCATAAATGGCAGCCCACCAGGCTCCGCCATTAAGTTATAATTTATTGTTATCATGACTTATTTCGATGCTCCACGTACCCCAGAATTGGCCAGAGTCTGTAAGCTGGCTTCTGTGTTCTTTTCATTGTTTGAGCACTTCTTTTCTTACTGGCCCAGTGAAATGCCCCCTGCTTATCTTATGCTTTCTCTGCTCCAGCTCTGGACTCACCTATTTCAGTAAACAGTCCTGCTTCCTTTGAGGAGAATGGTGCTGAAAGGCAAATCTGAGTGCTGGGTGTTCTTATATATAACAGTCCCATTCAATTTTTGTGTATCTATCATCTCTCTATCTATCTACCTCTATCATCCATGTAACTAATGAAAATCCTATATTCACACAGATACTTCTATTCCCAATGGAACATCATGGAATTCTTTCTATTCCTCTTTTTCTATACTTATAATTCCTTTCTCTTTAGAGGAACCTGGCTCCCATTATTCTTTTTTTATATATAAAGTTACTATATGTTTATATTATTCTTTATCAGTTCAGTTCAGTTTAGCCATTCAGTCGTGTCTGACTGTTTGCAACCCCATGAAATGCAGTACGCCAGGCCTCCCTGTCCATCACCAACTGCCAGAGTTTACCCAAACTCATGTCCATTGAGTTGGTGATGCCATCTAACCATCTCATCTTCTGTCGTCCCCTTCTCCTCCTGCCTTCAATCTTTCCCAACATCAACCATTAAAAGAATACATTTGAATCAGTGCCAACATCAGGGTCTTTTCAAATGAAGTCAGCTCTTCGCATCAGATGGCCAAAGTATTGGAGATTCAGCTTCAACATCAGTCCTTCCAATGAACACCCAGGACTGATCTCCTTTAGGATGGACTGGTTGGATCTCCTTGCAGTCCAAGGGACTCTCAAGAGTCTTCTCCAACACTACAGTTCAAAAGCATCAATTCTTCTGTGCTCATCTTTCTTTATAGTCCAACTCTCACATCCATACTGGAGAAGGCAATGGCAACCCACTCCAGTACTCTTGCCTGGAAAATCCCATGGACGAAGGAGCCTGGTAGGCTGCAGTCCATGGGGTCACTAGGAGTTGGACACAACTGAGCGACTTCACTTTCGCTTTTCCCTTTCATGCATTGGAGAAGGAAATGGCAACCCACTCCAGTGTTCTTGCCTGGAGAATCCCAGGGACGAGGGAGCCTGGTGGGCTGCTGTCTATGGGGTCGCACAGTCAGACATGACTGAAGTGACTTAGCAGCAGCAGCAGCAGAACATCCACACATGACTACTGGAAAAACCATGGCCTTGACTAGACAAACCTTTGTGGACAAAGTAATGTCTCTGCTTTTTAAAAATATTCTATCTAGGTTGGTCATAACTTTCCTTCCAAGAAGTAAGTGTCTTTTATTTTATTTTATTTATTTATTTATTTATTTTTTTAGTATCTTTTTTTTTTTTTAATTTCATGGCTGCAATCACCGTCTGCAGTGATTTTGGAGCCCAAAAAAATAAAGTCTTCCACTGTTTCCACTGTTTCCCCATCTATTTGCCATGAAGTGGTGGGACTGGATGCCATGATCTTAGTTTTCTGAATGTTGAGCTTTAAGCCAACTTTTTCACTCTCCTCTTTCACTTTCATCAAGAGGATCTTCAGTTCTTCTTCACTTTCTGCCATAAGGGTGGTGTTATCCACATATCTGAGGTTATTGATATTTCTCCTGGTCATCTTGATTCCACTTGTACTTCATCCAGCCCAGTGTTTCTCGTGATGCACTCTGCATATAAGTTATAAGCAGGGTGACAATATACAGCCTTGACGTACTCCTTTTCCTATTTGGAACCAGTCTGTTTTTCCATGTCCAGTTCTAACTGTTACTTCTTGACCTGCATACAGTTTCTCAAGAGGCAGGTCAGGTGGTCTGGTATTATTCTTTATTTCAAGTCACATAAAATTAATTATTTAATTCACCCTTTCTATGAAAACCTCTCCTGTAGTAATTCTGTCTACATTTCCTCTCTCTCTCCTGATACTTTCCTCACTGCACTTGGCCTTTGGTATCACACAGCAGGCCAGCTCCCTGCTCAGACACTTTCCTTACCCTACTCATGCTCCAACACCCCCCATCAGAACCTTCCAGTGTGGAAACCCTTCTCACCCTGCTTGGGCTCTGACAGTTGACACCAGGCCACATCTCTGCATAGACACCCTTCTCATCCATTTGGAGATACGCTACCCAAGCTGAGTCATCCCACCATAGAAACCGTCTTCTCACCTTGAGTTAACACCACAGTGGGTAGCTCCAAAGGGACACTCAGACTCTGACAACCCATTCTGGGGCCCATCTTGTGGACAACCTAATTAATTGTATTTTTATTCTACATTCAGAGGATAATTCCTCAATTCTACCTTCCAACCCTCTATTAAAGTTATCATTTCTGAAAACATATTTTAATTCCAAAGAATTCTTTTTGGTTCTATATTTTTTCATACCTTATTTTTTAATGTCCTTATTTTATGGATATTATATCTTCTTGCTTCTCTCAACAGATGTTAGC